GGCGAGGCTGGGCTGGGCTGGGCTGCCCCTTAGGAGGGGACATTCCCGATGGGCGAATGCAGGGGTTCGGAGGGGAGGCGAGATGTAAGGTAGAGGCGCAAGTAAATACCTGAGGCCAGAGTGTGATGACGCAGTAGCCTTCAGGTCGTGAATGTGATCTCTGCAGGTGCAGTCAGAAGAACAGTAAATAAAAATAAAATCTCACGTGTGTAAGCAAGGTCAGTACATTGCTCAAAATAAGGCTTATTCAGTAAAAAGGTCTCTGGGCGGCTTTGCTGAGCAGGGCTCCGTAAGGTACTGCCTTCAGTTTTACAGGCCAGGTGGGTATTTCAACCTTTGTCCAAGAACTGTGTTGTGCAGAAATGAATCTGTAACTCTCCTCAGAGACTGGGAGGGGGCCCTGAGAGACTGGGAGAGGGTTTAATGTTAATCTCTACCCAACAACAAATGAACGGAAATGCGAACGAAAGGCCTGGGATTTTCCTTGAGAATGCAGGGTACATCATGTGTCTGTGGCCTTTAGGAAGTCTGGAAGTTTCAGTCATTGTGTAGATTCAGAGCAGAGTTCTGGCAGAGCAGTCCTGATTCGAGCTTTAAACATACTGGGAATTGTGTCATGGTTTCTCTCTTCTCAGTCTTGCTTTTCCTAAACAGCTTCTCAGCCTAAATACCGCTTCAGTTGCTGGTGTAAAATGGCAGCTCTAACTTTACTGTATGAAAATTCCTTGTATTAGATGTACAAGTGTGTATCCTCCCCTGTGTGCAGAAGGTCTGAAAAAGCTGAACTAGGTGTGCTTGAAGTGCGGCTAAGAAGACTAAAATATGCTAATTTTGTTGTGTTTCTTTCAGGCAAGAATTCATATCAGCTCCAAGCAGAATTTGCAGTATGGTTGGCTGGCTTATATGTTGGGAGACAGAGCTACAAAAAAGTTCACTGAATACAGCAAAATCTTTACAGTGGATGGAAACTTATCTTCTGGGAAGGGCAAGCTTGCACAGCTAATTGCAGAAAAACTAGGTACATCTTATTTTCCCTATTTCTATAATGGTTAGTAGAATTTAACAGTGTGATTGTTATTCTTGTGTAAAGAAAGTTCACCAAACCAGCAATTCCTGACTAGGAAATTATTAGTTGGGCAATGCCACAGTCAGTGTGGAGGGCTTGTCTATAAGGGGAGAATAAAATGTTGGTGAGGTTTGAAATGAGGAAGGAGCACTTGTCAGATCTGCGGGATATTTACACAGTATGATTTGTTAATGATATTTTACTTCTAATGAAGTCAGTTTGCTCACTGAGCTAGCTCTGGTGAAGTCGCTGAGCACGTCAAGAGTTAGGACTTTTTTCATGGGTGTACACAGAGTATCATGGTGATTAGAGGATTGGTGGCAAAAAGATTCTGCTTAGAGTGATAGCTCAGCTCTCACTGACGAGGTGAAAGGTGGCAATGCTTCAAATTAGGGCTTGTGTGCCCTCTGTGACTGTGATTATTTTTTTGCTGTTTTCAAGTGTTGTTTAAAGCTACATATTTAAATGAGCTGAATAGATGTTTTACAGTAAATGAACAAAACATTATTTTGATTGGTGCTCTGCTTGGTTTTCTTTTTTGTCAGGAATGAAATATTTCCCAGAAGCAGACATCCATTACCTAGACAGAATCACAGGAGACGGAACATTGCTGCATGAGAAATTTAATGGTTTCTGTAACCTAGAGAGATTTTACAATGATCCAAAATGCTCTGATGGACACTCTTACCGACTGCAGGCTTGGCTGTTTGGTAACCGTGTTTTACAGTATGCTGATGCGTTGGAACATCTGCTGAGCACAGGTTAGATTTTACTTTCATTTCGAAATTAACTTCTGAGTGTAAGTTGTGAGTAAACTGTTCTGAAGTGCTTTGCTAGTATCTGCATTTTTAAATGAAAGGCTGTTATGTTGTTAAGCTTTTTATGTTTTCCCCCTTAGTAAGTACAGGCTAACAGTCATTTAGGGGTATTTAGACACATACAGGGAACACTTAGAAAATTACGTTGCTAATTTTTTTAGAACAGTATCTTGTATCATTGCTAGTGAACGGAATACTTACCAACTTCATTAGTTTTAATTTGGCGATCCCTGATGATTATTTTCAGAGACATTTTAAACATACCAAGACAGCTGTGAGCTATTGTTTTTAAAACTCTCCCTAGACTTAGTTCCTGATGGTATCTTTTGCTCAGTCTTTTTGATTTCATTAAGTACTGTTTTTGTAGTGGTATTGTTATAATTTGAGAGTCTTCTGGTGAGAAAAGATTTCCTATACCCACTCTGATTTACCTGTTGCTTGTGCTTTAATAAGTGTTTTCCAAAAAAAGATCAAAAGATGTGAATGCCAGAAAGTATCAGACACAAATGTAAACATACTCCTTAAATATAGTAGTACTTAGCTACTGTAGTGATAGGCACAGTAGGAGAATGTATATATGGGTGAGACAGGCATGTTTAGCGTACGTATCCAGTACGTTTGTGTCAGCCAAAAACTTGCTTTTTTGTTTTATTTAAAATTTTTAGAAAAGCATTCAGAAAATCGACCATAACAGCATTACTGTCTTTAATATTACATGTTGCTGCCAGCATTCTCTTTGGCCCTTGCTGACTGGAACCTACTTTCAATTGCAGGACAAGGTGTGGTGATGGAGCGCTCTCCCTACAGTGACTTTGTATTTCTGGATGCAATGTTTAAACAAGGCTATATCCACAAGCGATGTAAGTTCCTTGCATGCAAAAGGAAGTTATTTTGCCATAATGTCAGTCAGCAGCATGGTAGTTTAGTTTTTAAAGAAGAAACAAAAAAGCCTGCTTGGAAGATGGACTCCTTTAAACATTGATTGTTGTTCTTAAGGTGCTTAGCACCTTGCTGTTGCATGAATCAAGGACCAACCTCAAGCCATGAGACTTCCACTTTTAATTTAAGGCTTTGGTTCTGCTTATATGTTAAAGAATGTGTATTGCCTACTTGTGACCTGTCAGCCAGGGACTCCTGTAGTTCCCTGGAAATGTGGGTGAGCATGCTGACGAAGACTAGAGGTCCTGCAGGCAGACAGTAATCTTACAGCATTAGGTGGAAAGTAAATAATGGGTCAGCAGAGTTTGGCCTACTTGCCTTAAATCACCAGCTCCCTTTTGAATCTCAAAGAACACAAGTGTTGCTCTTCTCTTCAAGAAGGAAGGGGAAGAGGATCCAAGAAGCTACAGGCCAGTCAGCCTCAGCTTGGTCTGCAGGAAGGTGGTGGAGCAAATTCTCCTGGAAGCCATTTCCAAATGTATAGAGGATGAGAAAGATGATGGAGAATAGTTGTCATAGTTTTATGAAAAGGAAAACACCTGATAGTTGGCTCCATAGAATGCTAACTCAGAGGATGAGCAGAGAGCAATGGATATTGTTTATCTTAAGGCTTTCAGTGCTGTCTGTCATAACCTCCCCATTGACAAACTGATGAAGTATGGATTATATATCTGGGTAGTTGACTGAAAAGTGGCTGAACTGCTGGGCTCAAAAGGTTGTGATCAGCAATGCAAAATCCAGGTGGAGTCCAATAACTAGTGCTGTATCCCAGGGGAGGATACTGGTTACAGGTTTAAACTGGATTTAAAACATGGATGACAGATCAGAGTGCAGCCTTGGCAGATTTGCAGGTGATGCAAAATTGGGAGGGGAATGGTTGACATACCATATGTGTTTGGTGCTATTCAGAGGAACCTGGACAGGCTGGAGAAAAGGTTGGATGGCGACCTCATGAAGTTCAACAAAAGGGAATGCAAAGTCCTGCAGCGGGGAAGGAATAACCGCATGCACTCGTATAGGCTGGGAGTCAACTGTCTAGACAGTTTTGCAGAGGAGGATGCGGGGTCCTGATAGACACCAAGTTGAACGTGAGCTAGTAACATGCCCTTGTGGCAAAGGATGCCAGCAGCGTCCCAGGTGCTACATGAAGAGTGTTGTCAGCAGGTCAAGAGAGGTGAATCTGGAATATTTATGCCTAGTTCTGGGCTAGCAGTTGGAGAAAGATAGGAACTTACTGGAGCGAGTCTAGCAAAGGCTACAAATACAGAGGTGAGTATGTAATATATTTGCAAATAGAATGTGTTTAGCAAATGCAGGAAAAAAAGTCAAGAAATTATTGCAGATTCGTTACCCAATAGGTTATTATTTTAATGCTGTTCCTATTGCACTTGTCCTCATTTGCAACATGTGTATGTGTTCAGCTGGGCTGCCTTTAGCTCTCCAGTATGTTTGGTTTTGGTTTTTATACAGGTCTTGATCACTACAAGGAGATCAAAGAGATCAGCATTTGTGAATTCCTGCCACCTCACTTGGTCATTTATATAGATGTACCTGTCCCAGAGGTGCAGAAGAGGATTCAAGAGAAAGGCAAGGTAATTGCCACTCTTGCCCTGATTACTGCCTGTTTGTCTGTTGTTAATAGCACCCTTATACGTATGTCCTGCGGGGTTTGCTGTGGAATTCTGCTCCTGAAAAGCTTCTTATCTTCTTGAGTGTAAGAACTGTTTGTTGGTGATGACTGTGTAGATATTCTGGTATGCTTGCTCTAAAAAAAAGCAAAAATCAACTTTTTTGGCTGCATCAATGTGCTGTCATTTCTGTAATGAAAAGCTCTGTAAAAATCATCTGCCTTTAAAAACCAGCCTTCGTAGCTGCTGTTTCAGGAGTCATGTCCAGGTAATATGCTTCTTGCAGCACGTTCTAAGATTATCTGTGTTTCCTGAGTGCCAGAAGCCCCAGCTGGCAGTCCCCTTCTCCGACTTCCCCTGTTGACTGCTGTTTCAGATCTGTGTTGACATTAATGTGTGGGTCACTTGTGATCGGCAAGTTCAGTTACACTTTCTGAAATTAAGAAAATTACTTAAAACTACTTTTGTGTAGGTATTCCATGAGATGTAAAATCCAAGGTGCTTTCTGGCTAATCTAATATAAAGTTGATAAGAAATACAGTTGCTTCTTGTCACTAGTGCAATTTCAATGTAGACTGAGGTCATGATATGTGACTCTTGCCTATTGGTGATCTTTGAAAGTTGTGGGACGTTCTCACTTTTGCTCTCAAAACCCTTTGAGGGTGGCATAGTTTCTCTCCAAGCTGTCTTTTTTTAAGTCATGGTATTGGATGGAGGCTACTGTTAAAAAGGGAAAAAAAAAATTAACTCAGTTCTGTAGCATTGTCCTCAAATTACCTCTCTCATTATATCAGCATATTGGATTACTGGGTTATTGAAATAGCCTTGGAGCTGCAGGGTGCTTATGTATAATGACTAATCTCAATAAGGTTTTTGGTCTGGGTTTTTTCTTCCCCCTTCTGTGATATTTGGACATGTGCTTGTAACTGTTCTCAGATGTGTTATGAGGATTAGATGATGTTTACCTTGTTCCTTGTTCAAAGGCTGAGGGAAATTGTAGTCAAGTGAAGTGCTTAACTGTGGAAAGCCTGACAGATTCAAAGAAAACTGATTACTGAAAAATTCTCAGGTCTCTTGAATGCTTGGCAATGCCTGCTTCACTCGAAGCATGTGTGCGTATGTTAGTGTGTTAGGGTGAGCCAGTAGCATTTTGTTTTGCAGTTTCCTGCTCATTTAAGAGGGAGGCTGATGATTGCCAAAGGCAAGTGACTTCAAAGCCATAAATGGAAGGCTGCCCTTGCTGCTTCACAATTTGCGTTGCTTAGTCTGCTGGTCGAATGACTCCCCATCTGCCCTCCAGCAGTTTAGGCCATCACTGAACGTGCCTCTGTGCTTTAATGAACAAGATACTTTTGTGTAGGAAAACCATAGCTTTTTTGTTTTAGCAACTTCAGTGACGGAATTAGAAGCTTCTTAATGCATTGTGGGAACCTGCGAGTTCTTTGCCCTTCTGAGCATAAAGGTCGGTGGCATTTTTGAGACCTTTTGGCAGAAACTGCTGGTATAACTTGTAACTTCCTTGGGGCAGTGGCACTTCTGAATACTAGTGCTTGTTTCAGGATATTTTTTTTTTTTAGGAATTCTGCCTTCTTGGCGATGGAGTGTTTCATGGGTATTCAGTGCGCTGCTGTTGCAGGGCAGTGGAAAAAAAACCACAACCCTTCAGTGGGCCCAAGAAGCAGAGAGACAGGTCCTTCCAACATAAGGGGCATCTTGGATGAACATTTCAAGCAGGGAATGTGATTTAATTACATGGTAGAGTAGAGAAATTCCTGGCATTTTGCAAATGTGTCATTGAAATACATCGTGTAGAAGATGAACTGTTCAACAGCAGGTATGATATCCATGAAATTTCAAAGAAAGATTTTTGAGTGGGTAGTTGGAGTGGATGGTTGGCCATGCATTTGTCTGAAACTGTGGAATTGGTTGCATGTTGGCCCTCTTGTTGAAAAGGCAGACTCCGATAATCTTCTGTTTTCTGGATTAATAATGTATAGCTTCCTTGAATGTGCAGATAGCTAGGGTTGATCAGTCCTTGGAAAGCTAATCTTTTTGAGGCTGTTGATATGGTTCTCCTAGTTTATGTGAACTCGGGGAAAGTGAAGTGATTCCTGTAACAAACTGAAATGAACTGGAAGAAAGTTTTTTGCTTTTACATTCTTCTCTTTAACCTGCCTTTCCTTTTCTTTCTAGATTCACTAGCCTATCAGAAGAATTTTACTTATACGGCTAATTATTAAAACCATGGTCATAATAGTACAGGGCAAAGCAGTGATTAATGCAGACTGACTTGTTCCTTAGGGTACTCCAGATATTTAATGCCATGTAAGAAATTCTAACCACTCCAAATGTCTTAATTCTTGAAACTTTCATTAACGTGTATGTGGTTCACTTGGATGTTTGACTGCTGATGCAAGAATGACCTCTTGGCAGCTCGTGTCACAGCGCCTTCTGCTTAGGCTGGAATCTGTGCTGGTGGGAAAATAAAACTAATTTCACAACATTATGTTCTGTTTGTTTTTAGCCATATGAGAAGAAGGTGTCTTCTTTGTATCTCCAGAACATTGAGGATGCTTACAAGAAAACCTTCTTACCAGAGATCAGGTTAGCAAACCAAAATGTTCTGTCTGTTAAGTCTTTGAGTAAAAATGTGTGCAAATCTTAAAATCTCTGCCAATATAAGCAAATAAAATCATGACATATGAGAATTCCTCTTTGTGCTATGTGGTACAATATTATGTGTTAAAAGACCCTCTTAAATGATGGGGTATTGCATCCATGGCATAACTACACGCAAGTATACATAGTTATCTCTGGCATCTGAGAAACCTGATGCCAGTGTTAGAATATTGGAAGAATGAAAATGAAGTCTGTCAAGGTGTGAGCTTTATAAAGTAATGGTTTTTGACTCTTAACAGATTCAGAGTGGGTGAAGTGTTTTCAGTAGTAAATTAATTGGATTGCATTAACTGACGTACCTAATATGTTGCAAAGATAATGAGCTCTGATCTGCAGTATGTTTTTTTTTTTTTCATCCTGCTGTCTTGGGACATTGCAGTGTTGCTGTCATGGAGTCAGATACAGGGAAGCATAATTTTTTCATAGTTAAGAGCACTTCAGGAGCAAAGCCAGGGATTGGGTCTGTTTGCTCTGCAAAAACAGTTGGGTGGTTTTGGTTTTTTTTTTTTTCACACCTCAAATACTGTGTTCAGTTTTGGGCCCCTTGCTACAAGACAGGCATTGAGGTGCTGGAGCATGTCCAAAGAAGGGCAACAAAGTTGGTGGAAGGTCTGGAGCACAAGTCTTATGAGGAGTAGCTGAGGGAACTGGGGTTGTTTAAGCTGGAGAAAAGGAGGCTGAGGGGAGACCTTATTGCCCTCTACAACCGCCTGAAAGGAGGCTGTAGTGAGGTGGGTGTTGGTCTCTTCTTCCAGCTAACAAGGAATAGGACAAGAGGAAGTGGCCTCAAGTTGTGCCAGGGGAGGTTTAGATTGGACATTGGGAAAAATTTCTTCACTGAAAAGGTTGTCAAGCATTGGAATGGGCTGCCCAGGGAAGTGGTTGAGTCCTCATCCCTGGAGGTACTTAAAAGTTCTGTAGATGTGGTGCTTAGGGACATGGTTTAGTAGTGGACTTGGCAGTGTTAGGTTAATGGTTGGACTTGATGATCTTAAAGGTCTTTTCTAACCTAAACGATTCTATGATTCTCCTAAACAAATAGCTTTCTGGAAGGGAAACTCTTAAAGGTCACAGAGCCAGGCCTAATTTACATCAACACAGTCTGTAATCGTGCAAGGTTCAGTGTGTGCATGAAGCTGATTATTGAGTTACATTTAAGTCAAAGTAGATCTCTAGGTATAGTGTAGCCTGCTTGTTTCCCCTTGCTTTCTTGCTCCATCTCCCAGGGTAAATCAGTGTAATTGTGCTGTCAGCAATTGAACTGAATAACTTCATACTGAGCTTGTCATTCATAGAGGGCAGAAGTTGTTGGTATGAGGTATGGTCAGCTGCCTCCCACTGTGTCCCTCACAGGTTAGCGGCCAGCACACAGCTCTCAGAAGGAAATAGGGACTAAAGATGGAGAGGGAGGGTGGGAAACCTTGGGACTGGTATCCCCTGAGGGCAGAACAGTTTTGAATTTATTGGCGAGGAGAAAAATGCTGCTTGTTCTTTGGATCAAATTGAGGCCCAGAAATATACTGTGGTGTTTAGTGAGGCTAAATCCTAGACTAGCTGGTCCTGCTGTGATTTCAACTCTTTCGCCTTTGTCTGTACATGGTCAGTACACTTGTTAAGCAAACACCCTCCGGTTGGCGTCCTCGTCAGCGGATGGGCTTACAATAGCTTGTCAGATCAATCTTTGTGCTCGGGTCTGAATAAGGACGTCTCTGTCCCCTTGATGTGGGGGAGCTGTGAATGTGTGAAACTTCAGCTTTGAGTATCTCTGGACCTCACTGATGTCTTTGTGTATTGGTTAAATACAAAGAAGCTTCGACTATCTTTAACTGTTTGCCAGCATGCAGAGTGATGCAGTGAACTATATTAATGCTTGGCTGTTAGTCTCTAGGCAGACTAAGTAGTATTTGATTCTCTAGCTCTTGAGGATGACCAAAATCTGCTTCAGACAGCCTAAAAAGAGTTATTATAGACTGTTGAACAAACTCCTGCATACTTTCCATGTTACAGCTTAACGTTTGTTTGTTTTCTTGCTTTTCTTGAAATGCAGCAGGAAAATAGTTTGATACTTAAGCAAAATTCCTGTTACTGTCTTCCATTTAATTGGAGCAACTTGATGCTGCTTGAAATGGTGTGTTTTACAGTGCATATTTGGTTGTCTTAAAATTGGTTCTTCCTTTCTAGTCTGACATGTTTGCAAATGTCTTTTAATGTTTCTTTTGATAGTGATTTGTGAGCCCGGTGCTGTGGCAGGTACTACCTCGTGATTTTGAACAGACAGCTTTTGTTTTTTGTTTCATTTTTCTTTTCCTGGACCAAACCCCTAAGATTGCTAATGTTCTCTTTCATATCCAATACTGCTTCCACTGAGCAGCTGTTTTCTCTTAATGAGAGCCCTAATAATCTGCAGAGTATCAAGTGATTTGATCTGCATTGTTAATGCAATTGCCAGCATAAGTCTCTGGTGAAATCTGAGCTCTCCCTTTGATTACTGACAGTTGATATTGAAGATGTGAGTGTGCTACGCTGTCAGAGCAGCTCCCTTTGAAAGGAGGCCATTTATTTTCTTTCTGTGACTGAAGAGTCATGTAAGGCTTTACGCTTTGTTCTCAAGTTGTTCCCCTACTAGGAGCACCAGCTGAATAGCTGACTGTAATAGCTTGGGAGTTCATAGGAATAAAAGGCAAAAATGCCTTTTGCTTTTTTACCAGAGCTGTTTTGACTGACCGCTGTTAATCCACAGCAGGGACTAGTTTGGACTGCTGCAGTTTTAAGTTATTTTGATAATGTGACTATTTAGAGCAACAATGTTTAGATTGCCAGCCTTAATCCTGATTAAACTTGGAAGTGGTTGTGCTGAGCAAAAAGTCTGCAAATTCTTCTCAATGCTTTTCAGGTTTGCTGTGTGTCATTTGATATACTGTGCACATTGGGCTTCCATTTTATTTTCTCTGAAGTTTTTGTTAGCTAAAGGAAAGGTCTTCCAAGGCAGCTGGAGCAGGTTTGGGAACAACTGTTACTGAGGGTGACTGTGCATACAGGAGCTCCTATTGTGGAACTGCTCTGCAAGTGACTTTTCTGTGAATGCTGTTGTGTAAATAGGAAAACAATCTTGTAACCAAGAAGCTATTACCTATTTAAGTGTTTTTTTACTTACAGATCCTGCTGCCTGCATTGTATTGGTTCATTTAGTCTTAGTAAATAATGATGAATGAATGTATTCTTCTCTTAAAAATTACGCACAGGTATTAATATACTTGTTATAAAATGGAAGTTTTACGGAAGTTTTGGGTTAGGCTGGTTGAAAATTTCACTTGGTTGCAGATAGATAGGGCAATTATAATTGGGGAAATACCCACATTAGTGAAATTGAAACAAATTCATAGGTGGGATTTTTTTTTTTTTTTTTTGAAATGAAGCTATGTAGCTACCACAGGCTATTTGCCCCTTAAAAACAGTCTTCCACCAGGAATGAAGCAACTTACAGGCCTAATAGGAATTCTACTGCAAGAACTCTGTAAGCATTCTAACAAATTGTAATGACTCTGATTCTGTGTTTGTGCCTTTTAACTCCATTTCTGCTTTGTTTTGGAATAGGGGGAGAGGATGGGTAGAGTAGTTGTATCGGGGAAATTCAGTTTTTTTCCTCTTTGCAGTGAGACCAGCGAAGTTCTGCAGTACACAGCCACTGAGGCAGAGGATGTGGAGAAGGTGAGAGTTTATTGCATTTTGTTTTTAAACTCCAAGACTGAAATTTAGAGAGAATGTGTTGTCCTGGGTAACAAACTTACTTAACTACTTAATTCATTTAGTGTTTGTTGCTATAGCAAAGATGTGGGCTGGGTCTGTAGTAGAATATTTCAGTGAATGAATGTTGTTTTGTCAGAGTGGAAGTCGGCCCCCGCCCCCCCATCCCTTTTGCCAAAATACCTAGCTATCAGAGGAAGCAAAGCCCCCTATAGACTACATGATTATCACTAATAATTTTTTTAGTGTCTTTTGTCTGGTGTAACTTATGGTGGGTGTTTCCAAACTTGGTTTGTTTTTCCAAGCAAATCCTGTGAGGGAGGTGGAAACAACATTTCCTGAGTCTGCTGGGCTGTGCAGTGTTTGGTTGGTCAGTCAGCATCCCTGTTTGAAGTGGGTGGTGGGGTGGGCAATGGTCTGTATAGCTCAGGTTGGGAACTAATGGCATTAACCAAGAGGTAAGTCACCACCAGCATTCAGATGAGACTTTGTCTACCAGTATAAGGTCTGTCTTGGTTGGCTTTTGCCATTGTGCAGCTTTCTATGATCCAGGTTGGTGCACAGGTCCCTTTGTGGTAAAACAGCTGTTGATTTCTAAAAGCTAGTCATTATTTGGTTGTTATAGCAAACAGCTGGATAACCAGAGCTGTTACAAGCATTGTAACCCTGGGTTATTCATCTGTATCAGCTAGCATGTGGTATCTAAACTGCAGTTTTTTCTCCAAATGGTTTTGTCAGACATGTTAGCCCTGGACCAAGCCAGATAAATTGCCTTCTCACTGCTAGAAATAAACCATCTCTTATTGTGTGACAGGATTAGCATGAGATCACTGCTTCCTTCTGCTTCCTTGTGTTATTTTTTGGAGTAGGTATAATATTGTCTTATTTCAGCAAACATTCTTGCTCATGGAGGATGACTAGTGGGATAACAGAAGCCTTTTGCTTCCCCACTGTTAAGTTTTCTCTGTAGCTGCTGTCCCTTGCTGAGAAGAGCAACAAGCTTTTTCTAATTCTGGACAGGTTTGTGGTGGGTCCATTTCAGTTCTAGGGATGAAAGTTACATGGTGAGTCCCTCAAAGCTCCCTTGATTTCTGTAGTACCAATAAGGATCTCAGCTGCACTAAGAATACCTTTTCAGATATGTCTTGCTGATTTTAATGTTTTCATCCTCTGTGTTTCTTGTTTGAAAGCTCTGATAATCCTTCTAGTGTCCACTTAATGCTCTCCTTTCCTGTTAGAGGGGAAAAGAAATAGGAGGCTGGTTATATTGCTTTTTGCTTTAGGAAATGGGTCCAGACCTTTGCACAGCAGCATGTGATTAATTCCTAAATCATCTGGGAAGAGAGAAGTGTCAGGGTCATTACTCTGAGATGGAAAACTTACTAGTTTGGGAAGGGGAGAAGATTGGGAAAATGTAACAGGCTTTCCCAAATCAGATGCAAAAAGAAAACATTTGTTTCAGTACACCAGCACCTGTCCACCCACTTGCACTACATAGGATATTCAGTGGGTAGCAGGCCATCTTAGTGCAGAGGCTTGTGTGTAGTTTTGTGGGAGCACTTCCATCTTGCCACAAGACACATCTTGGAGCCTTTCCTAGCTGAGCCTCCAAGTCAGTGCTTAATTAAAGATCCATAAGCTCATCCTTGGCATTCATAGCAAGGGAGGCTTCTGACTGCTTACTGCCTTTGTGGAGTTCTTTAAAAAAAATAAATTTAAAAAAGCATATTGAACATTTCTAAACATTGCAGGAGGCATCCTATTACTGCTGTGCTCACTTGCTGATGGACTGGGTTTGACTGTGATCAAGTTAATTTTCTTCGCAAGAACCCATATGGTGCTGTGCTTTAGATCTGATCAAACCAGTGTTGATAATGCACCAGCATTTTAGCTATTGCTGAGCAGTGCTTGCACAGCACGAAGGCCGTCTCTCTTTCTCACTCTGCCCCCTGGATTATGCTGGGGTTGTGCAGAGGTTTGGGAGGGGACACAGCCAGGGGGGCTGACCCTGACTGACCAAAGGGATATTCCATACCGTGTAACATTAAGATTGGCAATAAAACTGAGGGGAGCTTTTTTCCAAACTAGTGGTTGCTAGGAGAAAGGGATTGGAAAATGTCCTGGATCTTTGAGCTTGGTTCCTGCTGTTGGAGTTGGTGATGAATCTGTTTCAGTTGAAGTCTGCAATGAGCTGTCCTCTCTTAAGCCTGACTTTGGAGAAACGAAGCGTGGATTTTAATTGGAGTTGTGCATGACAATAGCCTGCACCCAATAGCCTCGTGTTGCCATGCAAAAGCTTTGTGAAGCAGAAAGTATTGGTAAGGACTTTCCTGGTCCTAAAAATTTAATCCCCATTAGCTGCACTGCTGTGTGTTCCTAAGCCTTTTAGTTCCCTCTATTGAGAACATGGTTGTCTGCTACATGTTGGGTCCTGTTGTGTCTTATTTCTGGACACTCATGCAACTTGATTATAGAGGCTATAATTATTAACCAGTAGATTCGTGAGGCAGTTTGAGTTTATACCCACAGAAAGGGCTGGCAGCTTCAGTGTGACAGCAGATAAATAGAAGTTCACTGTGAAATCACACTTTGAGGCGACTGCATGCATTTGGAGTAGAGCAAAATTCCTAAAATCTCTGAAAATGAGGTGGTTTTGGAAGCTTCAAAAAACCCAAAGGCCTTTCCGTTTGTTCTGAGATCAACTGTGTTTATGCAGATCACTATCTGCAACCTTTACCAGCTGACAATTCTGACATTAATCCTTCTGTATCATTTTCAGGATGGAAAAAAATGACTGAAGAGGGTAAACCTTTACATTTGTCTTAGTCTTGAAGTTGTTTCCAAGTAGCTCTTGAATGCCTGAGTTTTCAGTCTTGTGAGTACCCCTGTGAAAAATCAAGAGCACAGCATCATTGTTCTCATGTGCACAAAAAAAAAAATAGTGTGGCTTTAGTGTTAGCAGGGTTGGGGTGCCCCTGCTTTTGTGGTAGATGAGTAAGTTGTATAGCAGCTCGTAGGCACTTGTTGAAGTTCACACACCTGCAGCCACGGTGAGGATTCTGCTTTGCAGTGAGAAGCATTCTCTGTGACAAGAAAGATCAGCATCCCAGGAATAAATATCTAAAAACATAGCAGAGATTTTTTTTTTTGAGGGACAAAAATAAGAGAAATGGGAAGAAGATGAAATGAATGGAAAAAAAAAACTAGGTCAGGATGTGGATGAGAATATTGAGCAATTATAGTTAATTTTTCATGGCAGCATAAAAGAAAGGGTAACGATTTGAGAACCATGGTATTTCAAGAAAGTAGCTACACGTTTGGTTGAACAAAAAAGAGAAAGTTGGGATGGGGTTATTTGCATGTTTTCTCCCCTTCTTTCTTTCTGAGCGTGTCTTGAAGTAGTCAGAATAAAGCAGTTTGTTTCCTCGCTGGATTTTTTGTAGTAAAACCCATTGCTAGAGATTTTATTTTAATCCTGTAAATCAGGGTTTAAATTAGTCAGTCTAAAGCTCTTATTGCTCAAGTAGAGTCTACCAAGCTCAGCAATCTTGTGTCATCACTGTACATAGGGTCATTAGTATGCACTGATGTAGTTCTTAATTTGGTTGGACAAATCTGGACTAGAGGAAGGATTATTATTTTGAACTCAAAGTACAAGACGGTATCTTATTTTCATTGTTAGATGTTAGCTATAGAGATTGGTACTCTTTCCACTTTAAAGTTGTTTTTTTCCCTTCTGTTGAGATTCCGTTTATCTTTGGAATTAAATAGTTGAAATTTGGAAGTAAGGGTTGGCAGGAGGGATTTGGTTTTGGCTTGTAGGATGTTTGTTTACACAGGTGTATCCTGTTGATAGATAGCAATGTTTAACTTAGCTAGCTTCAGTCTACAGATTATTTGTGATGTGATTTGGGAGCTTAATTTTTTTATGACCTTATAGTTTAATGGCTTTTGATTTTCTCATATCAGACATACAGAACTTAGAAATTACTTGTTTCTGAAGTGTGTTTTAAAAAGATCAGTTAGGGTTTCATATTGTAATTAACACTGGCTGAAATGGCTAAAAGAGTAGTAAGTGCTGAAATCGGCTTCATTAGGGTGTTTCAGACTGCTTTTACATGAGAGTAAAACTGGGAATAAAATGTTAACTGTATGTTTGTTTAAATTTTTTTAAAAGCTCTGGATATTAAAGAAGTGGGGGTAGAAAGGAAATAACCAAAATTGTTTCAATTCCTTTGTGCTTGTGAATGGTGTTTTGTATTATTCGTTTTTTTGTTATTATTGTATTATTCAGTTTCAGTTTGTATTATTCAGTTTCATTCAGTGTTGCCAGCTTGCCTAAACTGGAGAAGATGAAGATGGGAGGCTGCTGACAGACCAGCTTTGTACCATGTCCTTTGCCAGTGCAGAAGTGAAAGGCTCCAGAGGTAGCCTGCATGAATTTTTCAGTTGCAGGTGCTGTATATGGGCTGAGCTCCTTCCTGCAAGCTGTGGTCTGAACTCTGTAGGGTTGTAGCCTGCATTGCTCCCTGTGTCCATCTCTTGCTTAAAGACACAACCTGCGAGGAAGGAGTTTGGGGAGAAGTCAGCTGACAGAGCAACCTGTCGGGGTTTGGTCTCTTTGTCCCCAGAAGTTATATGAATAAGAACAGTGTCACCTTCTGCTGCCCACCATCCCCCAGCTCTTCCAACAGCAGCACTCGCCAGCTCACTGTGAAACAAGCTTAGAAATTGTAAGCTGTTCGTATTGGCTTAGTTGTAGAGATTACAGAAAGGGGTCTCATTATTGAAACAGTTATTTCTAAATCCTGCCATGCTCTGCAATATATTAAGACCTGATCTCTCCTAGACATTACTACGAGTTATGCTGCAATCAGGTTTAAATCATTCATTTGCTGCTAATTCCCAGGGGGTGCCAGGGCATTCGCTCTAAATTAAGAAGCTCGTCTTCTAGCCTGGTCTGGAGGCTGATACCGTTGTTAACGAGCCGCTGGGAGAGATGTCTTCTGATATGATAATAAGAGTGTGCAAAACTAATTTGATGCAGATTTCTTTTTCCCCACAACATATTCTGAGCCCTATTGTTAGCAACTCTATTATTAGTCCTGTCATCAGCCATAGCAGGGAGTTTCCACAGCTTTGCTGTGGAGTAGAGAAGTTACTGCTTTTGCGTAGCTAATGGGAAGTATGGTGGAGGTTCAGCTTTTAAATTAAATAATTGAAGTAAATAATGGATATTTCAACTAACTTACCATACACCTTTCTTTTTTACATCTTTGAATGCTTATCTTGGGGAGTTATGTTACAGTAGTTTGGTAGGAAGAATGAGTTTCTAAATACAACATTGAAAACTCTTCTAAATGTCTGTGGTGCAGTTTTCTGTACTGTTTTTTGGAGACCGAAACATTTTTCCATCTACAGGTGAATTTGTCATTGGCTTTTTTTCTTTATGTGAAAAGTAGGTTTCCTATGCTCTTAGCAAGAGTATCTGGTTTGCCAGCCTTGCCTCTTTGTAAGAGATCCGAAACTGCTGAATAGCATCTAAACTTGCTTGAAGTTAAATATGCTTTGGTGATGTCATGTCAACTGTATTTTTTAAGTCTTTATCAGCAAAATTAGTCTTTAAAAATATAAATGCCATAGGGAAAATGATCATGCAGCCATATCTCTAAGCCATTATTTTTTACCATAAAAACATAATACTGGTAATAGAGTGGACCTTTATAGTTGAAACTACTTTGTAATAGCACTTTGTAATTGCCTTTTAAGTGGTAATAGATGGGATTTAGTGTTTGCTGTGATTGCAGGGAATAATTACAGTGGATTTAATGTAAAGATTAGAACCATTTTTCATTTATTATTCTATCACTCTGTTACTGGCATCTGCTTAGTTGTTGTCAATGGATCAACAGTGGGTCATCAGGATTACAGTCCTGACCTCATAACTTTATCCTTTCCTTCTGGAAAAGGTCTCTGAAAAGTGGTGTTGGGAGCTGTAACAATCCACTCCCTCCCAAGTTTTTTCAAGGTACTGTCTCCACCTCATCATGCACCTTAAGTGCATCCTCCTGACCCTAGTTTGGGTTTCCTTCAGATCTAGTTAGTTGAGTGCAATAACCTCAGGCTCCTGTTAAGCAATTACCCAGTCAACCAGCAACAATCTGTTTTCTGATGCAGCCAGGCTGTAAATGAAGCTCAAACATGGGATTGATAAGTTGGGGGATGCTGGAGGAGTGATTTGCTGAGCTGGTGTTACTTGTCTGAATGATTCTGGGTGTTGAGCTGTGAGTTTTACCTTTCCTTTCTGCTTGGGGTGCGTGCATGCATGGGTAGGTCTCGATGACTGGTCAAATCGGGAGCCTTTGGACTTCTATCGATATGGCTACTTCAAAGGTGTTTGAGCTTTCCAGCCTGAAACGTGCTTTAGTTTCTGTGATGTGAAGCACACACAGCAACAGCAAGAGGCAGTTGCCACAATTGCTCCTCAACCTGTTTCAGTTAGTATGCCACTAAACACTTTTGAAAAAAAAAAAACCCAAAAAACCCACCAAACTAGGCTTCCTATGTAGCGTGATGATTTTTGTTTGCAACAAAAGGGGGTTAAATTTAGACTTACTTCCATTTCCTCCTCACTCTACTCTAGAGGTGGGATTGTACCTTCTTTGCTTCCTTTCAGCTTCAACGGCAGGTTGAGGAAGTGTCTTGGATCAGGTAAGAATTTAGAAACAAGGCACCTCTCAGATGATTTATTCCCTGACATCCTCTGTTCATCAAAGCTGAAAGCACTAGGAATTTTAGAGCTGTGTCTGCACAGTGCTTATGGCAGGGCCACAACCTCTAGAAATATGACTGGGAGATGGTATGTTAGCTCTAAACTTTTGCATTGTTAATACAGCATTAGCAGTGAAGCCTTTCTGCTGGGTGACTTGATTAATAATATATTTTTGATTATTTCATTGATTTGGGGGGCGTGTTCATTGATTTTTTTGGATGTTCTGATCAGACTGCCTCTTAGTGTGGTTTTTATCTTCTGATTCCAGGTAATTGAAGACATTGAGTACCTGAAGTTTGACAAGGGGCCATGGCTGGAGCAGGATGATGTTTCTTTCCATCATTTGAGACTTTAGTAAGTATGATGTCTTCCAGTAACTGAATGTTACTTAGCATCAGATCTCAGGGAAAATGGTTAAAGCCTTGAGTTTTTAAAAGTATATTTATATTTGCACTCTGATTTGTTTTTTTGTCAGAAGTCAGCAGTGATAGCAGGCTTTTGTAATATTGGTGGTTGGCACTGTAATATGGTGTGGCATTTTGCTGCTTCTGATAATTGATTAGACAAGAGACTCCAGATGAATAAATCCCATTCCATTAATGAAGTTCAAGAACTCTCCAGGCTTTTCCCAAGTGCTGTGACCTGTGGCCGTCACTTTTGGAAGTGTGTTTTTGTGAGCACTTCTGTTCCTGGGTGATCACAGAAAAGCATTTCATTTTAAACCAGAGCATTTATGCAGTTGGCACGGTGATTCCTCTGCTGCCCTGGTAGCATGACATCCTTCAGCAAAGCTTGTTGACAGAGTGACCTTGCAGCAAGTTTTGTAAATGGTGCTGTTTAGATTGGCTGTGTTAGTGGGTTTTTTTCTAAAACTAGTCTAATTTCTTATGCTCTCTGATTTTTAAATCTTTCCAGCAGTCAAGAAGCTGGCTGAACAGAGTGTAGGGGGAAAAAGTAAACAGGCAAACCTGGGTGACCTTTTTTCCTTCTTTCTCCAGACTCCCAGTAAATAATCCTAAATAAAAACTTTAATCCTAATTCACAGAATGAAGTATTGCAGTTTTGTTATTCATTCTCTATAATAACAAGGGAGATTGTTAAAGTATAACAATGTAAGGGTGTTTTTGTTGTTTTCCTTGTTAAAGATCCTTGTCTATCTAATTGGATGTGAAGAGATCAGACTCAGATAGTGGAAAGCGCCTTGCTGGAATAGAATCAAATTTGATTATACTATCTCTTTCCAAGTACTCCATGATTATCTGTCCTCCAATTCAGCTGTGGAGTGCTACCGGTGGGGCTGCATGTGTCCCCAGAACAATGCTGAAAAGAGAGGTAGCCCTCCAAACTCTGAAAAATGTGAACCAAACCATTGATGTGTATGTAAAGTGAGATCAGACCTACAATTTTCTACGTTACAGATGAAGCATCAGGAGTGCCACTCTGAAGTCATGTTGATGAACAAAGTGTTCTTTGGATAACCACGTAGAAAGATACCTACACTTGTAAAACTATTAACAGGGATAACCTTGCACTGAAGTGGGACAACTTTCCCATTTTGCTAGAACTTCATCTTTAGACTGAATGTGCAGGTAGCAAGTGCACTATAGTTACTGCATTTTTAAAACAAAATTTAATAATTATATTCTTCTCATATTAATTTCAGGTTATCTTGCAGGTTAGTAGAAACACAGGGGTTTTTTTAAATTTAATATCTGCCTTTGAATTTTTGTCTTTATTGTGACAGGCATTGGAGTAGTAAGTTAAATTGGATTTTTTTTCAGGCTTTTTTTTATTATTCGCCTTTTAGTTTCCTGTGCTGTAACTTCAAGCACCTCCTAAAATAAGATAATGTTCTTTTTCTATGGCCTTTCTATCAAGGGGTGAAGATAGATCACAGACGAGCAGTGTTGCATGGTGTCTAAGAAACAAGTGATGATTTGGGTGCCCTTTAAGTATCTAAGAAGTTGTTTCTTCATGTAGTAATTAAAGGATAGCACCTGGTGACTTAGACCCCGCAAAACTATCAATCAGATTTACTTGAAAGAGAAAATACAGTTAAGTTGCTTTGTTTTCCCATAGCTTCACACTAGTACAGGTATTAAGAAAGAATTATTAATTGCAGAGTGTAGGAGGGAGTTAAAGGAAAGCATACACTTAAAGAGCAGTGTATTGAGATATTGTATGAAAATTGTACTCTGCAGCTGAAGAAGGGAACAAATTGCGTTGTTAAGGGCTCAAGTTTTCATTGAACCCTGGGGGAGAGTGAGGGGGTCTCCTGTACAAGCAGCATGTGGTTGTTTTAAGATATTAAATTAGCCGTTCGTTGCATTATAAATGTTGTTATAGTTTCAGTTTTGCTGTTTCCCCTTATGTTCAGAATAGCATTGACAAGATAGCATTCATATTCAGACCGATGATGAATGTGCCCGGTGTTTGCTTTGAGTCTTCCTTTGGTGCTGGGGTATTAGGGCGTTGATCAAATGTGAAACAACAGGTCCTGTGCCAATTTTGTGCTCATGCCTTGCTCAGCTGAATGAGGTGGGTGATTGTTGGGCAGCCTGGGAAGAGCACCTTTTTATAAAAGTGTGTAGGTTTGGACATTATCTTTTCTAGTGTTAACTCCGGAAGTGCAGGACAGACATGACTCTCTTGTCACAGCTTGCACAAATTTCACTCATGAAAACGTGTCAGGCCCAGTGCCAGGCAGGGAACAGATGTGTAAGGACCAAACAAACCCTGCAGGGAGTCTGCTGCATGTCTTCAGTGTTGGAATTGCATCCCGGAGCATCAAATGTCAATTTCGGGTGCTAGTTCATGAACGTTAAAGGTGATGCTTTCTTCACTTTCAGTGCACAAGCAGAAAAGAGCTTGTGGTACACAGCCTTCTGCAGATTTGCGGGTGTTCCATGCCTACATTAATTTTTCCTTTTGGAAAGAGTTTTTTAGCACGTTCCTGGTGGGCTGCCTGTTCCATATGCTGTCACATGCTGCCCTCTTGTGGGTGTTTCTGGAAGGCTGCAGCAGGTATTTGTTTTTCCGTATGCAATTGCTTCCTTCACTGACCTCCCAGCATTTTGCACAGCCCACTCATTCTGACTTGGGCTATTTCCGACCTGTTGCTGCCTGGGAGTCAGAGGGGCAGTGCAGCAGGAGGCTGGGTGTTGCGGTCATAATCCTGCTCCGGTCCTAGCTTGTCTGTTGGCAGTTTTACCTTTTCCACCTTCAGCTTGTACCAGCATGTCTGAGGGAAGGGGATCGATGGGCACGACTGAGGATAACTTTTTCATTGCATGTATATAGGATCTAATGCACAGAAATCCCAGCAGGGTGTCTGACTACTTTGGTAATGCAAGTAAGGAAGCTAATCAAAACGAGCTGAGTGAGCCGCACCCATATAAAATCAGTTGCATAATGATACCATTTATCTCCCCACCTTGCCCTCGAGTACTCTCTCCCTTGCCCTAATAGAGAGTAGTGTGGGTGTGGGACTGAGGCATGTCTTGGTAAAAGGTCAAAAATGTATATATTTGTGTGTATGTAAGATAGAGGGGTCTCCCAGAGGATGCTCTTCACATCTTTCCTTCCTCTCCAAGCACTGTGTCCAACAGAAAGCACTCTGGGTTTTTTTGAAACGTCTCAGAAAGTTCCTCTGTTGCCACTGCACTCTCTCAAGCATGTTTTTATCTGTGCCCTTCCCAGTGAAATCTTGTGACTGTCTACATGCATTGCAAAATAAATGATGTTTTGGAATGAAGAGCTATAGTTTGTGTAAGATCCCCTGTGTTGCCTTACTAGCTGTTGTGGGGAGCTTACTGCATTTGACTTGTTTCATCAGACAAGTCCATGTTTAAATCTGTTGCATCCCTGCAGCTCCTTCAGAATTTGCTGTAGCAGAACTTATTTTGTATAGGCAAATTTCTGACTTTTTTAAGCCACCGCTAATTTAATTTAAAAAAATATAGGTATTGGCATTTGTTTTATCGTGATGAAAAGGGGATCTCTTTCCATTTGCAAACAATCTAGCCATTAAATAGTTTGCCAGTCTCATCTGTTCCATTTTGTTCATTAATAACTATTAGTGTGCCACAAACCCTGTGTAGTAAACCCTCCAGTATTGTATTTGGCGGAACATCAGGCATATATTTTGAGGTTGTTACTGAAGGACCTTCTATGTGCAGTAACTAGTAATTTCTAAGTTCTCTTAACATTTGTTTAGCTGCTTGGAGCTATTGCTAACCCCAGAGCTTGGCTCCTATTTCCTTTCTGTTCATTTTGCTCTGGTTGAATGAAACGTTGCAGTGAGGGAGCATGGGAACGAATGAAGGAGAGTGACCCTTCAGCTCTGTTCCACAGTGTAATTGAGCGTGCTTTTAGCAGAGGGAAGAAGTGTCCATGTTTGAAGGTCTGTCTTGTCTGATTTCAAATAGCAGGACTAGACGTGCTTGCAAGAGGTGTATTGGAATTGGTTTTGAAACTTTTTGTCACAGAGGCTCCAAAAATCTTATAAACCATTCATTGTAGAACTTCTGGCAGTATTAAAAACTGGTTCCTTTGGTGCCTTACTTCTCTCTTGTTTCAACTGAAACAGTTCTTTGTAATATCCTCTTTGCAGTGGCTTTTTCTAGATTTGAAGTGCTGTTGTTGTACCGTCTTCACCTTCTCTTGCAGGCCTGCTTTTCTTGGTAGGGCTTTTTTTTTTTTTTTCTTTTTCTTTCTTGGCATTCATTGTGAGTGTTTGTTCATCAAGGGAGTGGCTGTGGTTCACCTTGGGCACAGCATACTTGTTCAGCCTAATGAAACAGTCGAGTCTTGAGTCTCTTTGGCAAAAGGAGGTTTGTACATTGTTGCCCTGCCTTTGCTAAGTTCTGGAGAAAATGGGCAAGGAAGAAATGACAGGCAAGGAAAGACACATGGGGGACACACAGCCCACTGCTGTCCTGCCGAATGAGCTCAGGAGCAGAGGAGGTCAGAACAGGAGTTGGATGCAGGAACCATCTCTTCCACCCAACCCTATGTGCCCATGACATGACTCAAGAGCGTTTTTCCTTTCCCCCGCTCTCACAAGCTTGGGCAAAATCGTGAGTGTATCACACGCTCACTGGCTTACTCGCACATGTTGTACCCTGCCCCCTGGAGGCATGGAAGCCGACCGCAGCAGGGTTTGAGGAGCCCTGGCTGAGGTAATAAGGCTGTGTATAGCAGAGGAATGAATGCCTCCCACTCGCTCCGTTTCAAACCTGAAACACAATAACTGGTTGGTTAGGAGCTGCTTTCAAGATGTGTGAGAAAAGAATGTTTTCCAGTGGGATCCACCTGCTATTTCTCAAGTTACTTTCATGTATAAGCACAGAATTTAACTTGGGATGCTTTTGTGTTGCTGGCTCTAAGCCTCTTAGGCCAGTGAATGCTTTAGGCAGGAAACGTGGTTTCCTAATACTGTGTATTGTCACTTCAATATTTGTGATTATGCCAGCATTCGTTGTTGAGAAACCACGGGTCAGGCTACACAAACTGGTTTTTTTCTTTGCTTGACTAGTTTATTTTTTTCCAAGCAGTCTTACTTCCTTTACCCTGCCTCGCACCTTTAGCAAATATGTTCATAAGACTTTCTAATGTTCATTGTGGTAGGCAATCTTGGGAATTTGCTTTATACATAGGTAGGAAAAAAAAAAGCTAAGTTACTTGTGTGTCGTCAGGTTTCTGCAGGTTCCCTGAAAAATTTGTGTATCCATGCTGTAAGCTGCCTGTAAGGGAAAAAGGACTTCCTCCTCTGAAAAAAGGCAGGAATGTGTCAGTCCCGATTCCTCAGTACCTGCTCGTGCTGGACATAATGTAGGTGTGTAATAGTTGCTCTTGAAGAAGAGAGGAGCTACTCACTGCTGTAACGTTCTTACAAGTGTGATTCCTGTGTAACAATGGGAAAGTTTGAAATGTCACATAATCTTATGGGTTGGTAACGCACGCTCTGGGAAGCTATGCTACTGCATGATGAGAGCTGCTTCAAGAAAATATGGTTAAGTGTCAGAAAATAATAAATAGTGATACTTTTTGTGCTGGGGGAGAAAGAGAAAACTAAGGATGCATAAAAAGTGCCTTTAAATGCTTCCTACTGAGCAGTGAATTAGTTCTGGCAAGCAAGTGTGGTTTTGTGGTTAAAGACGTTGTTGTGGCAGGTGTCTTTGGGTGGTGCTTTTAGTTAGTATTCGAAGTTATTTCTTAAGGTGCAGAGCTGAAGCTAGAAAAGTTGTCTTTAGTAGCATTAAGTTTGCGGTTTTTTGTTGTGCAGTGGTTTCTTCGGAGGCAGTCGTCCTGCGAGCAAAGAAGTTTTATGAGCAGCAGGTTTTCCATCTTGGCCACTAACTAAAATAAATTGTGCTTGGGAATTGTCTTCTACAATTGCCATTTGTCTGAGATTCATGAAGCAATGGCTTAACTACAGACTGGTTGGCTACTGGACTCTGTATGTGTCAAATTATACCTCATATATGCCTGGACAAATTTAGTCTGCTTTCTCCTACAGACTTGTAAGGTTCAGAACATCTGCTTCTACTTGGCAGAGAGTGGACTCTCCCATTTCTGTGGGAAAATCTGATGGAGGTGTTTATTCACTGATAGATTAGTGGATCTTTCACAGCCTCTGCTGTTAAGCCTGAGCTCAGCAAGGTCTTTAAACATTGTCTGCATGCGGTCCTGTTCAAATCAAAATTCTTAGCTTGTTGGCTTTGCTCTCTGCACAATGAAAATGCAAATTAAAGCTCCTAGCATTGGTGCTGATTACAAGTGTGATTGCGGGATGGACTGTACTTAAGGAATGAAGAGCTGGTATGTGAAGGTGTGCTTTCTGCTGGGGTCTGTTTATTTTAGTTTCAGGTTAATTAGCAGTGTGTATTAGAGCTGATTCCTTCTCAGCAGAACCCCAAGAGAAAAGACTTAGTAGGTGCAAAGGTGCTGCTGCCAAAGTACGCTTGGATTCAGAAATAAAACCAGTTGTGTCATCAGATCACAGTTTTGGACAAGCTCTTCCATCCCAGCTCCGTTACTCCAAGCTGTCCTGGAGTGGGAAGGCTGGGAGTCACGCACAGGAGGGCTGGTGCTAGCATGTCATGAAAAGAGCTCTTGCTGTGTTGGTGAGGAGGCAAAGGAGGGGTCCTTTTCCTGGCTTCCAGCATGTGAATTACACATTTAATGTATGTGAAGATAGATAATGTAATAGTTTACAGGAAGCATCTTTGGTGTTCATCCTGGCCTTGTAAAAGCACTTACCCGTACCTTCTCCCACCTCAACTTTTACTAGATTACTGTATTTCCTTACTAATTTGTTTGTAGTAGGATAATTTACATCGTGTGTGTCAGGATAAGTTAGCAAGCTAGTTTACTTGTTGAAATTGTTCAGTGCTGTCCCCAAATTTGTGACTTAGGGAGAAAAATTAATTGCTTAAAGATTATTAACTTTGCTTTGTTCAGGGTGTATGCTTTATGTGTATGTAAATATTTGTAAAGAAATGCAGTTCACTGAAAGAAATGCAGTTTGCAGAGTTTCAAGTGTTGAATTTAGAATTTGGTCACTGTCTGCTGGAAATGGATGTATTTTTCCCCAGATATGTATAGGTGGCACTGTTGGTCTATGTATAATACCAGTATGCAGAAGGTGGCTTTCTAGTAGTTTCTCAGACATTTTAAATTTGGGGTATTTGAAAGCACTGGTGCCATGCAGCATGGATTTTTTGGTGGATTCCGATTATCTGTAGTTACAGCTGCTACAGCAAGCTTCCCCTGCTTATTCCCAGGCGGGATGCGAGAGGCACTGCCTGCTTCCAACCCCTGTCATTGCCTCAGTGTCAATCCATTTAGGATGGAAATTTGGGGAAGAGCACCACCTTACTTCAATCCTTGTGAGGGTTCATTTGTGAAAACTAATTGAACGGGAGGCAATTGGATGAAGTTGATATAGCAAGATAGTGTGTGGAATTCAATAAGCCACTGGTTTTACCTTGCTTATATAGGAAAGCAAAAAGCTAGAGGTGCCTTATGGAGATGGCTCCCAGGAATGATAGCATCTCCAGGGAAGAAAAACCAGGGGAAGGGAATGGAAGCAGGGAGAAGTCAGAGTAGGAGCAAACTGGAGGCAAGGGGGTAAAAAAAAAACCCACAGGAACTGTGTAAGGAAAAGGACTGTGTATTCATCATAACCGGAAAAGAGCCAAAACCTGTGGAAGTATTATTTATCAGAAAGTGGTTCTTTAATATTTGGTCAAACTCAGAATTGATGTTGCTGTCTTCAGGGAAGGATGTGGACTAACTGCTCCTTTTTCTTTCCTTCTTTCTTTCCCCTCAGTGTTCAGGACAAAGATGGAGTGCTGGACCCTGCAGCCATCCCTCGCTTCATTCCAGAAATCACAATTGGAGGCAGTGAATATGATAAAATCTATTACGAGTATCGATCGGTAAGTAATACTGGAAGGGGAGCAGTTGTATGGTAGCCAGGCAGCTGTCCCTGCCAAAGTGTAAGCGTGTTCATAACTGTCCTGTGCACAGCCTGGCTGTCAAGTCTCGTGCACAGGAATACGCATTTCTAAAAGTAAGCTCTGGACTTTGCCCAGATCTCCATCTTTTTTGAAGTCTAGCTTCCCCACAAGAGGAATAATGAAGCAAATGGTTTGTTTCGTAAGCTGATTTTCTTTTTTGATCTTTAGATGTGGACTAAAGGATAAGTGATTTTCCTTTGGTTTTGTTTCTCGTGCCCCGATTAATCTGTGACCTCTGAAATCTAAAATAATCCTTTGAGTCAAACAAGAAAATTGGAAACCCATGGTGACTTCTATGAAGACGACCGCTTATAAAATGCTGAGGGAGGGGGTGTTTTTTCTGGAGTAGGCTGAGGAGGTACAAATGTAACATTGCTTCTCAAAACTGTTGTTGCTTTAAATAGTGTGTTTCTGTATGCGGGCACACATCCAAAGCCTGTTGTGGCCCAGCGCTCTCTTACACCTCATGCAGGCTCCCACACAATGTTTTAATTAGCTGCTCGCCTTTCTGGTTCTGGAGACAACGGCTTCCAATTGACTTAGCACTTTGCCCTATAGTGTATTGTTATTTAGCTGGCATGGGGTCCTCTTGCACCACACTTAGGTGTTTTCCTCAGGCCCAGGTATTGTAAATTCTCATTAGAGAAATTGTGGAACTGATTACAATTAGACAACTGAAGTTACAGGTGATGGTATATTTTCAACTTGGATTTAAATAATCTCTGCCACTGTGGTTTTTTTTTTTAAGCAGTCACTGAAGACGAAGGAAGATCTATATAAATTGATGTAAACCATGATTTGCATAGTCAAAACACTAGCATTCTTCTGTTCCTGTTAGTATGCAGCCTCTTACTGAAATTAGAATGTAAGATACAGGTTTGTGGACTTGTTTGGAAACTCTGGGCTACGAGTGTTTTCTTCTGGAATAGTCAGTTCAGAAGTCCCTGTGAATGTTCAACATAATTCGTTCCTCCTCAGATAACTATGCAGTGGAGAGGCTCCTGGGTTCATGCTGTTCTGCCTCACTAGAGATTTAGACTTTCCAGCTTGTAAAGGGGTCTAAAGCTAAAGGTTAAAGCAGCAGAAAGCATCTCAGTGCTCCTTGAGGTTGTCTAATGGGTTTGAAAACTCCCAGGTCCATCTGAGAAACTGCTATCAGAATTTTGTGCTTCTTGGTATCGCTTACATTTTTAAGTCCAAAACTTTAAGCTCAGACTCAGGATTTTTGGAGTCCTTCATTCCAAGAGACGTCTGTGCATGTGCAGCACATATTTCAGAAGGATCTGCTGCATGACTTGTTGCCAGCATGCAACATCCATCTGTACTGATGGTGCCTTTCTTCCTGAAGATGATGGGGTTTTTTTTGGCTGAAATGTCACTCTGCAGTGGAGCTGGGAATTATTGAGGCTGCCTGACACACAGCTAGATGTGACCTCAGTGCTACGTGCTGAGAACCAGGGGTAATACTTCTGAAAGGCTTTTTTTCTCTAACTGTACAACAGCACATTCCTCTTTGTGCTGGCAAGAAACTGAGAATGCCCTGGCTCATCAAATAGCTGGCTTCCAGGAAAAATTGTGACTTGCCTTGCAGATGTAGCAAAGGGATGCTTAGGAGCAGGAATATGAATACCTGGGAAGGAAAGCTGGGCTCTTGGATTGCTCTGCTTGATGCCAGCTAGTTGACAGCAGAAGCAGAGCACTGTCAGTGCAAAAAAACATTGCCAAAATGTAATCTCCCTTGTGCAGGCATGCTTTTAGGCCCTGATTCAGGAAAGTGCTGTGGAAAGTGATAATGTCCTTTGGAATAAGGAGGACTTGTACATTTCATGAAGCATTCTGTTAAATTCAGGCAATACTAGCCACTCTTTTTCTCTCTTCTGAATGCTTAGACACTTGTAGTCCTTCAGGGATGGGAGGGGGGGGTCCTATAGGGGTGGTGAACAATACAAAAGAAGCTGAGTTTTCCTACTTCCCATAAGCTACTGGAGGGGGAAGCACAAAGCCAGCCCCACCCGTCATTTTATGTTCTTAAGAATTCAGTTCTTTGAAACTTTGAAGATCTGTGTTTTTGCCTCCAACTTTGTTTAGCAAATGAAGGTGTGAATTTCTTTGTAAAGGCAAGACTTATATTCAGAAGTAATACAGCATGAGACCAACCAGTGCAGGCAGAAAAAGCAGATGCACTTCTAGGCATACAAATCTTGGCTACAAGGTTGCTGGGTCTAACCAGAGGCAATTGTAAACCCTTGCGTTGTCCATGTTTATGCAGGGATGGTTACAGCTGTGCTACCACTTTTGCATTTGAAGACAGATAAAGATTTTAGGCTCACATGACTTGTAAGTAAAGACTTAATTATGGTATAATTACAGAACTTTAACTTTTCCTTGTGGAAAATACGTGCTTTTAAAGTTAGTGTAATGATGTTTACCACATAAATACAATGATTTGTGTAGGGGATTTTTTCCTTGGCAATCCTATAACTAGTCATAAAACCTTGATCATACCAATAGGTAACTGCTGTGCTTTTCAGAGTTGCATGCACACAGTTCATGCTGCCTAATAATGGTGGTTTTCAGGGATTTGCAAATTCCAGGCAGAAGCTGTTTATTGTTCAAAATATTCATTAGTCAGAAGCAACTGAAAAGGAGGAGGAAACGCTCTTCAGAGTCCAAGACTTCAGTATATGTGCCTTTCTGCAAAATAACGAGGTAGCCACATACAGCTCTGAATGCTAGCAACTCGCTTTTTTATGTATATCCTCTAAATTTCTTCTGTAAGTGTTCTTTTCACGTGTGAGGAGGTGGCTTTCTGCCTCCTTCTCTTACCATAAAGTTGTCTGGCAGGGTTCAACTGTTCTGTTCAGGCATTCATAAACTTCTAAAGATGCTTTTCTGGCAAGGGAAAAGTAACCTTTTAGTCAGGTTCTGTGATGAGAGATAAGCATGTTCATTCTTAAGTGAAGCAACATTATTTTAGGAACTGTCAAACTAGTAAAGACTTGACTACTTGTTTTTTTTTTTTTTTTTTTTTTTTTTTTTCTTAACAACTGCTGTGTATCTCTGCTTTCTTCCAACCGTGCACAATCCCCATGGATAGTGCTCCAAACTCCATGTGTGCCCTGTGAAGCTGGAGCACTTAGGCAGATGTGTTTGCAGAGAAGATGAAAACAAATGGTTCTGTTTAATGGAATCAGTGTACTTAAATAATGTACTTATGTACTTCACACTCCCGAATGCTGTTGGCAAATCTTGCTGAATCTCCTAGGGATGGTGAAAAAAGGATTCTTTTACGTGCATGCTCTTTTCTGTATACATAAAAGTGCAGCTGTCTAAGATTCATATTCAAGCCATCACCTACGTCTTTACCTCTGAAAACAAAGCTGCAGAACTTTAAAATAGTCTTTGCCACCTCCCCCTTCACTGCAGATTGTAGGGCAATGATCAGTATTTAATTTATGTAAGCTTTGTGTTTAAAAAGACC